ATCGCTGCGGCCCAGCGCGAAGGGGAGATCGCTGCGGCCCAGCGCGAAGGGGAGATCGCTGCGGCCCAGCGGGAAGGGGAGATCGCTGCGGCCCAGCGGGAAGGGGAGAGATCTCTGCGGCGACTGAGGGGACATCAACAAAACTGGAGATGGCTGAAGTAGCCATCATGTACACTATAACCGAACACACAACAAACTAAAGGTCATCCCATTCACAACCCCCACACCGTCCACCGACCGTGTGGACGAGGTACCAAATGGCTCCTCATCACCCACACCAGTCAATGGTTAGTCAGGGTCCAAGCAGCGGGGTGCACAGATCCCGGACGAGCCCCCATTTGTTACGCCCGTACAGCACCCCGTGAGGGGAGGGGAACATACACCGCGCTGCCAAGAACCCCAGACGGCCAGAGACCGGGTGTGGGCGCAAGTAATCACACCAACACCGATGGGTCTGGTTTAAACAGGCTATAGCACGTGCCAGTTTATTATTAATAATAATAATAATAATAATAATAATAATAATAATAATAATAATAAACAATAGAGGGAAATGGGAGGACGGCTGAGCTGATCCAAAACAAAGAAATTAGCAAAACCCCACCCCTTACCTGTCCCAACGTCCTACACAAAACACTTATTTACTCTGGCGCTCGAGCAAGGCGCCCTAACCAAAAATACAGGGGGTGGATCGCTCAGATCTAACCTGGTGTGTATAACAGGAGATATCCCTACGGGTGATGTATGCCCAGGGCGTCTTTCCTAACACTCCCAAGTGCTTTCCGTTCTCCCTGGGAAGGACACACGAAATACAAATGATTAACACTTTCAATACTCCAAAACACTCCACCATGTACAACCAATTTCACAAGAGCACCCCAAACACAACCTTACACCCTGCCTGAGAGAGATGACTGAACAACCAGAAACACATAAATACAGCTGATGGGACGATGCGATTGGAGGATGGGAAAACAGGAACCAGCTGTAGGAGATCACGGGAGGGCGGATGAGTAATGAAGACAATTAGCTCCACCTGAGGAGGGTTATCACACACACAGAACACAGACAAGACCGGGGGTCGTAACATCATGCATCAGATTGAATCGATAAAGCAGCAACAGGATCAACGCGGCTCTATAGGACAGGCGGTCCAGCAAAGTGAGCTGGATAGAGCCGTGACTGATGGATTGAATCAACCTTTTACAGACGTTCAATTCAATTCATTTTATTTTGTATAGCCCAAAATCGCAAATTACAAATTTGCCTCAGAGGGCTTTACAGTCGGTACAGTAAACCTTAGTGAGAACGTCAGAGGAGGATCCGTCTCCTGATGGACAGACTACAATGATGTCATGTGTACAGAATGAACAATGTATAATACATGAGACTATATGACAGAAATGATTCAAGTAATTGTGAGTAGTAAACCAGGCGCACAGCAGGACCACTGCAGGGACCACCACCACAGATAGAACCACCATCACATAGAACCACCATCACATAGAACCACCATCAGATAGAACCACCATCAGATAGAACCACCATCCACAGAAGCCTGTGGGGAGGGAGAGCACAGAGACTTTAGGAAAACAAACAACAAATTGTAGCACTTAAATTGTACTTACAACGTCACTTATCTATAGCAAATTTTAAATTGGCCTATTTGATGAAATTGCACTTTCTTGTTTCATGCTCTTCTGAGTTTGTACCCCTATAGTTGAATGCACTTATTGTAAGTTAACGTAAAGGGTAATGTTAGGTTATGATGACAGTAATATGATTAATATTTAAATTAATAACGATGATGGAGGTGCAGGTGTCAGCAGGTGTCAGGACCAGGGTCCAGAAGGAACCACGATCTACGGACACCTGATAGGGGAGAAAGCACAAAAAACTCCCGGAAAGAAGCTGAATTAGTCATGTGCATTAATAAAACGTGGATTATTGTAGAACGGGTGCGTGAGAGAGGAGCTCAGTGTGTCCTAAGTCCCCCAGCAGTCTAAGCCTATAGCAGCTTAACTAAGGGCTGGTCCGGGCTAACCTGAGCCAGCCCTAACTATAGGCAGAATCAAAGAGGAACGTTTTAAGCTTTATCTTAAAAGAGCTCAAAAGAGGAGCTTGATAACTGAAGGCTCTGGCCCCCAGCCTACTTTTTAAAACCATAGGAACAGCAAGTAACCAGCATCTATGGAGCGCAGCTGCCTTGTAGGGACCCCCAGGAGGTCTGCAGAGGTACTGCATGGGGGGGCCTGCAGTGATCTTTCCTGACTGAAGGTGTACAGGTCCAGTATGGAGACCAGACTGGAGCAAATGATTCTCTCTGCAGACCTGGGCCCGGTTTCTCAAAAGGTTTAATCCGGATAAAATATATCCGGATTTAGTAATCCTTTTTTTGCGATCCGTGATCACGTAATCCAGTTTACTTTTGAGCCAGTTTTTCAAAGCAACATTGGATTGAATCAATCTGATCCGGATAGGAACTTTTCAGGATCACCAAATCTGGATAACCAGTGCTCAAACAGGATAGGAAATCACAAACTATAGATATGTAAAGAGCAACAGGTAGAATAGCCAGTGTGGGGTCAATATAAGTTTATTTTTATTTGAAATGAAAACACACACATTTAAAAAAAACTAAAAACAAGAAAAACCCCACTCCATCCTCTTCCAGTCCGCTCATCTGAGACCTACAACACAAACACTGTACATTGAGGATATTTCTAACAAGTTTCAAATATAGATGTATTGAATTTAAAAAAAGACTTAATGTCAATTACTCCACAATAATTTCAGACTTCCTCATCTGATGTGGAGAGACCAGCTTGTCTGAGCGTAGCCTTTAGGAGGCGGATCTCAAGTCTGGCCTTGGTTTGCTGCAGTTTGGTCAGAGTCAGTTGTTCCTCTGCCAGCCGAAGCTGTGCTTCTGCCCTTTTAGTCTCTTTTTGCAGAAGTGCCTCGTAATCATCATCTTTGTTTGATGAAGGGCGCTTCAAGCCTTTCCTCTGAAATCCTGTGGCAACGACCACTGGCTCAACCAATGAGGATCCACCTTCTTCCTCAGGAACAGAGCTGAGATTCAATATAAATGCGCTCTCTGGATCAGCCTCAGGAGGAACTGGCAGATTCTCCTCCTCCTCCTCAATCCAAGGCTCGCCATCCCCTACAACACCTTGATTACCATGGAGAGCTTGTGACTTCTCACCTCCAATGATGTCGAGGACCACGTCAGTGTAATCTCCCCTCTTAAATGGCTTGTTGCCTGTTTTGGGGGTTTTGGCTTCAGCATGGTCCTTGGTTGCCCTGGCCTTAAGATTCTTCCACCGCAATTTGATTGTCCTCCTCTGGCCAGACCCTATGGCATTCACATTTTCTGTGATTAAAATCCAAACATCATTTTTCTTTTTGTTGGTATCCTTAGCAGAATTAAAACTTCCCACTATTGTTCCATAATGGCACCGAACACCCTCTAGAAGTGCATTGGTTTCAGCAGCAGTGAAGTTACAGCTTCTTGAGTCCATGGTTCCGTTGCTTTACTATAGTGAACATTGTTCAGCAATTATAGGCCTTGGGTCCAATTGCCTCAATTGAACACAAGCCAAAACTAATCAGTTGTAATCGGTGTGTTTGAAAAGACCAATTACACAGCCATATAAATCAGCCTTTCTCAGAGGATTCACAGAGACACAGTGAAATGTCAGGTGTTGTCCACCGCCACCACCACTTTGCCAGGAGAGGATACCGTCAAAGAGTGTATGTTGAACGTACCAAGCCACTGGAGCAATACACCCCTGAGGAACTGTATGTCCGGCTTCGCTTTGGGAAGGCTGATATGGAGTACCTTGTGAACCTTCTCAGGCCAAAACTTCAACACAGAACCCAAAGGAGTCACAGTCTGTCTGTGGAAGACCAGATCCTCATTGCTCTCCGATTTTATGCATGTGGGACTTTCTATCAAGTTGTTGGTGACTATATGGGAGTGGTGAAATCAGCTGTGTGTGATGTGGTGAGAGATGTGTCAATCGTACTGGCCAGCCTGGTCAATGAATTTGTTTCTTTTCCGAAGGACAACCAGATTTCTTTTGGGGAATATGCCCAATACTATTGGAGCAATCGACTGCACACATGTGTGTATACAAGCACCTTGTGAGAATGAATGAGAGTTTAGAAACAGAAAGGGGAGGCACAGCATCAATGTCCAACTTGTGTGTGATGCTGACCTCATCATCACCAACTGCGTTGTCAAGTGGCCTGGGTCTGTCCATGATGCACGCATCCTGAGGGAGAGCGCTCTATATAGAGACCTCCAAACCAACCGACCCGATGGCATTATATTAGGAGACAGCGCCTACCCACTCCTACCATGGCTGATGACTCCTTTTCTAACAGCAAATACACCGCTTCAACACTGCTCATTGCAGAGCAAGATGTGCAATTGAGCGTTTAAATGGAGTTCTTAGGAGGCGCTTTGCATGCCTTAACTACCTGAGAGCGGAGCCACAGAAAGCGTGCAACATAACCCTTGGCTGTATTGTCCTGCACAACATCGCTACCAAGCGCAACTCCCCTCTCTGTGCTGACAATGATGCACCTGAGCCCCTTGGAGACCCTAACCAACCTCCTGCATTCTGCCAGAACGAGCAAACCGGACGTGCAACAAGGGACGCAATAGTTAGACACTATTTCTGATTTGGATTTGTTTTGTGATTGCCATTCTTTGCATTTTTTTGGTTATTCTGTAATCATTGCATGCATCACTAATAAATATTCTAAAAATAAAAATATTATATATGAATATATATATCAATTAGTGACAGAATCAAATATATTGTTTTTGGTCAATTTGGTCAAACCACACAGTGACGATACACTGGATGATATAAATATAAATAAAAGTATTGACTACATTATTACAGTATTGATTACAGCTTGAAACATGTTATAATCTTCATAATTTTCCTATATAATCCACTGAAAAGTGAGCATTGAGTTAAAACTCATATTTACCACGTTCCCTGAATGCCGCACCAATGTTAGCAAGCGGGCGTGGCTAACGTGCACCATCAACTTCCGGGGATCAGCGTGAGTTGCTAACGCGCACATCCATGGAAATAAATGCTTGTTGTCAAAGTAACGCCGTGTTTTACTCTTGTGACACGTTGTGTTGGCAGCGCGTGAATACTGACTCGTGTTGTGTCTCCGTGTGTGTGTGTGTGTGACCAGGGCAGCGCGTGCGCTAGCAGCGTGTAGCTGCTCTCTGGGTAACACGCGCCGTACAGCGGACCTGTCACACGGTGCGTAGTGCGACACTGACTCTGTCCTCTGTCCTCTGTCCCAGCTGCTCGCCATGGGACCCCCCACGCTGGACAAGATCCGCGCGCTGCAGAGGAACCCCCGAAACATCCGGAACCTCTGCATCCTGGCGCACGTGGACCACGGTGAGCGGGATCTGTGTACCACGTGTACTGTGTGTGTGTACTCCACGTGTACTGTGTTTACCACGTGTACTGTGTGTGTGTGTACTCCACGTGTACTGTGTGTGTGTACTCCACGTGTACTGTGTGTGTACTCCACGTGTACTGTGTTTACCACGTGTACTGTGTGTGTGTACTCCACGTGTACTGTGTTTACCACGTGTACTGTGTGTGTGTACTCCACCTGTACTGTGTTTACCACGTGTACTGTGTGTGTGTACTCCACCTGTACTGTGTTTACCACGTGTACTGTGTGTGTGTACTCCACCTGTACTGTGTTTACCACGTGTACTGTGTGTGTGTGTGTGTGTGTACCACGTGTACTGTGTGTACCACGTGTACTGTGTGTGTGTGTGTGTACCACGTGTACTGTGTTTACCACGTGTATGTGTACCATGTGTACTGTTTGTGTGTGTGTACCACGTGCACCATGTGTGTGTACCACGTGTACTATTTGTGTGTGTACCACGTGCGTGTACCAGGTGCGCCGTGTGTGTGTACCACGTGTACTGTGTGTATGTGTGTGCGTGTGCACCACAAGCATGTACCACGTACACCGTGTGTACACCGTGTGTGTGTACCACGTGCACCGTGTGTGTGTGTGTGTGTACCACGTGCACCGTGTGTGTGTACTGTGTGTGTGTACGATTGTAAATGAGCAGAGGTGGAGGAATTGATTTCATGTGTGATGATCTGTCCCAGTGTGTGTTTTCATTCATTAGATATTTTCTCTTTGATGTGTCAGTCAGAATGTGTCACGCACGTCAATCATGTGGATCGCTCTGACTGTGTGCAGGTAAAACCACTCTGGCGGACTGCTTGGTGGCGACTAATGGCATCATCTCGAGCCGCCTGGCTGGGAAGGTACACTGAGCCGCTGCGTCTGCTCTGCCATGTCCTGCTAACGTGTGCTGCTGTCTGCTAACGTGTGCTGCTGTCTGCTAACGTGTGCTGCTGTCTGCTGACGTGTGCTGCTGTCTGCTAACGTGTGCTGTGCCCGTCTGCAGCTGAGGTACCTGGACAGCCGGGAGGACGAGCAGAGTCGAGGCATCACCATGAAGTCCAGCGCCATCTCCCTGCACTACAGCAACGGTGCGCCCTCTCATCCAGTATCCTTCCACCTGTTAGTCTTTGTCCTCTTCTTGTGATGTGATTCTCAGATGGTCTTCATGTTTAAAGGGAATCTGAGCGAGAGACAATGTATTTAAGCAACTGAACACATTGTAATCTATAATATATCTATTAATCTGACTTCATTTGAATACTGTTGAGATGCTTCGCTCGCCATCACCGCCGTCCTGCTGCCAAAGCGTCATTACACTTGAATCTCACACACACACACACACACACACACACACACACACACACACACACACACAGCAGAGACTGAGCGCCTGTGAGTTAGCTGGTATCCAACGAAGTAGCCAGCAGAACTAGTGTTTATGTCCATGTTGGATAGCTGTCTCTATGGAGATAAGCCACGCCCCTTCTCCAGAGACACTAGTTAGTTAGAGTTGGCTTTGCTTTTGGTGTGAACGCAGCATTAGTGACGTCAGGCGACAAACAACCAGGGTGAAAGGAACTTTATTAACATGCGTGATGCTCACGTGAGCTGCGTCATGATTGTTCGTTCTCACCAACGGACCAATTACACGCCACTGTTTAAATATTGCCACCGCAAGGGATTGTGGGACGGAATCATTCCCTTTTGGTAACGGATGGTCCAGTGGTTCCTATGCTGAAGGAGCCAAGTGAGGAAGCATTGAGGCTCCTTTCCTTAGTTTTGGTTCTATTCTCTAATGCCATCAGTAGTGACAATCAACCAAAACCGCCTTCAGAAGGACTTTATGAATATCCCCAATCCACAGGAAGGAAACCCTCCAGTTTAGATTATTCAATCAATACATCGAAAGCTTTGTTGACCTTTGTCACACATTTCTTTCCCTTGTATGGTGTCTTTCAGTTTCTTGAGTATATTTTGGTATTGCGAATGAATATGAGAGCAGGATGTGACGCATGGACCTGGAGTGAAACGTGGTTCTGTGCTCAGGGGACCAGGAGTACCTGCTGAACCTGATCGACTCCCCCGGTCACGTGGACTTCTCCTCCGAGGTGTCCACCGCTGTGCGTCTGTGTGACGGGGCCGTCGTCATAGTGGATGCTGTGGAGGGAGTGTGTCCACAGGTACTGTACGCCTGGTCAGTAGATCCATGAGATCATCTGAGGTTTGGGTTCCTCTGTCCTCTGCGCAGTGAGGAGCGGGTGCTGGTTAACGTAGTTCTCGGCAGGTGTTGGCTGCCGGCAGCTGGGACATCACATGTCATTTAGCCTTCATCCAAAGCCACTTACTCCGTATAAGTGCAGAATACAAAGAACAAGGAGGTGCAATTTCATCAAATAAGCCGATTTACAGCTAAAGGGTTCCATTCAATCTGGTTTATATAAATCATCATCTGCGGTTTCCCTCAATAACTTTATCGTGGATACAATTAAAGTGTGAGCGAGAAGACTTCCTTCATCATTCAGCGTCACGTCAACTCGAATAGTTATAAAGAACTGAACTAATTAAACAGGACAGTTTATTACTAAGTAAGAAACATAATCCACACACATCGGTTTCCAAACAGGAAGTCCCTGTTTTACATTTAGAACATAGAACTTTACACCACGAGTCCCTGTGAGATGATCTGCTCTCTGACGCACAAATCATCACATTCAGTCATTATGAGCTTATTGTAGAGTTTCCACAACGCTTCTGGAAACCTGCACTCCAACCAGTAGATGAAACCAGTAGATGAAACCAGTAGATGAAACCAGTACACCCTCCCTCATTCAATTGAATGAGTATTTCTACCATTTCTAGATGTTCTCCTCTGAAGCAGCACAATACTCGACCTCGCTGAGATCCAAAGGTAACAGGAATAAAACCAAGTGGAGAAGATTCAGCCACCAGAAGGGCCCTTTGATCAGAAAGACATTGTGGGAGTGTTGTGGTGCAATAACTGAACAATTGTGTTTCCAAACTGATTGAATGAATCGAAGGTCTGCGTTGTGTGTAGACCCAGGTGGTGCTCCGTCAAGCGTGGTTGGAGAACATCAGGCCCGTCCTGGTCATCAATAAGATAGACCGACTTATTGTGGAGCTGAAGCTCACCTCCCAGGAGGCCTACACGCACCTGCAGAAGATCCTGGAGCAGGTGAGGGTCCATGCAACCAGCAACAAGGGCTCAGTCGTCTGTGACCGGGCTGCTTGTTGCTCCATGAATTAGATCATCGTCTCATTCAACGCAGAAAGTGAGTTTGTGTTGGAAAACCCAAATTCTGTATCTCAGAAAATGAGAATCTTGTGAACACGTTGAATGTTTTTGGGAGACGCTGAGTGTCCGCGTTGGCTTCAGAGCGCCGTCCTGCGTGATGGAAGCCGGGTGCTTCTGCAGGAGGTCATGCGGTGCTGATGGAGACCGTTTGGCTCGTCTGTTTCACCTTTGCACTGCATAATGTGGACAGATTAGAAATAGCAGCTACTGTTATCGAAATAATGCATTTTATTATTAGCAAAGTCATCTGGCGGGCCGAGCTGGAGCCCCTCCCGCGTGCTACATGTGGGCCGTATGTTTAATGAAGGGGTGCCCACCAGCTACTTTTCAATCGACCAATTTGCGGCGATACGATATCTCATGGTGGGATTTCATAAAGCATAATCATCCACATTATAGCAAGGTCTCCCCTGTGTGAATATGAGGTTGTAATTCATTGAGATGTGCACGTTGCTCTCTGTAGGTGAACGCAGTGACGGGGACTTTGTTCACCTCCAAAGTCCTGGAGGAGCAGGCGGAGAGGGAGGAGGAGGAGGAGTTGGGTGGAGACCAGGCGCGTGACTGGAGCAGCAGGCCGGAGGAGGCAGACGACTCGCTGCTCTACTTCTCCCCCGACCAGGGAAACGTGGTGTTTGCCAGCGCCATCGATGGGTGGGGCTTCAGGTGAGGCTCCGTGTTCCGAGTGCGCTTCCACTGGCGCTCTGTAGGCGGCTCGATGGCTGCAGTCTGCTGCGTGGAGGAGCACCTCTCTGCTCCACGGGACGGCCACAGCACTTCCACACCGCACACACGTTTCCCAGAAAAACACTCTGAGAATGATCACATGAGAAGTGTTGGTTCAACTTGAAAAATAAAACCCCACCTGTATGTAACTATTCATAGCTGTTACCCTCAAGTTGAGCTTTGGGGCTTCTTGTTTCCACTGATCATCTGAGATGTTTCTACAGCCTGATTGGAGTCGACCTGTGGTGATCTCATCGCCTCCCCTCCCATATAACATCTGAACACACAGTTTACACTTGTAGAGAACATGATGTCATGGCTCTCTTGAGTTTACACTTATTTCTACAACTTTGTCACAAACATTCATGTAGTTTGGTTCTTTTATGACTTTATGATGGGTCAACAGAAAAGTTCTGCTGGGTCAGAAATATACATACAGCAACGTGACTTTTAGTGACTTATAACGTTGTATCAATGAAATGAGCCTCATGGCCTCTTGTGAGTGATTGAGTGACAGCTGGTGACTCTGAGGCCATTTAAATAAATCAATGGGAAAGTCAAAGGAGTAAAATCATTGACTTGAACAAATCAGGAAAGTGACTTGGAGCCATTTCAAAGCAGCTGCAGGTCCCAAGAGCAGCAGCCAACACTTGTTTGTAAGTATGAAGTGCACGGCGCCGCTTTGTCACCATCAGGAAGAAGAAAACCACCTGCTGCTGAGAGAACATTGGTCAGGAGGGTGACGAGTCAACGAGAAGCACCAGAGAGCAGATCTGCTGCTGGAACAGACCAGCGCGTTTGCATCTCCATGGACGGAGAGGCTGCCGTGCAGGAAGGAAGCTCCTGCTCCAAAAGCGGCATGTGGACAATGCAGAAGAAACAAGTTCATGTCAGAAAGTCATCAAATTTAACTGAACTGCACCAATTCTGTGAGGAGAAGATTCAATGAAGCTTGTGGATGGCCAAGGGACATGTGACCAAATACTAGCACTGCTGTATGTGTATTTCTGACCCAGCAGGTTGTCACTGTTTCTGTTGACCCATAATAAAGTCCTAAAAGAACCAAACCTCATGAATGTTTTTGACACAAAGTGTAGAAATAACGGGAAGCTCAGGAGAGCATCAATGACATTATGTTCTTTGTGTATGTAAACCTTTGACCACCACTGTATGTGTGACTGCAGATATACACACGTGGTCTCAATGACTACATACAAGTAGGGCTGCATTTTAAAATGAGAGACATGAAATAAAATACTTCAATTCATGAATTTCCGGGTTCTGTTCCTCATCTGGACTCGACAGTCTCAGCCAATAGGAAATAGTCGCTGTAAACAGTGTGTCTATTGGTGCTCCGTCGTCCCTCCATTCTGGATTAAATGTCCTACTTTCATGGTCCATTTGTTCCTCATGTTCCTCACGTCTCACTTTGTTTTTATTCCTGCCGTCTTTTTACTTTGAGACGATATTGTCGTGCCTGCAATGCACGGACTCGATTGGTCGAGTGGTGTCACGTGGGACGGCTTACCTCGCATGCTATTGGTCTGTGCCACTGTCCTATAGACGACCAAAGCTGCTTCCCCGGGTTTTAGCTCCAGGTCCGGATGGGACGGCTTCTAGGTCCATATGCGGCCCTCTGTCCGCCAGTCAGTGACCTCTGACCCAGGGTCCTATCAGCGTATAATGCTGATTAGCGCCCTCTGACGTATTCTCCACGCGTCACCAGGCGTTTTTCTTGTCCTTTTACCGTGCACGGCCAGCGAACACACAGCGCGGGATTATACCCCCCCCCCCCCCCCCCCCCCCCATGGTTGGGGACCACTACTCTAGAGCCCCTTCTAGTGGACACTTGGTGGTACTCATTGTGTGATGTAACCTTCAGACACTCCGACCTACCGTCGCCCATTTGAGGACTTTCAAAGTAAAATGCCTGTCGGTCTGACTGAGGGATCTGTGTCCTTCTACACCAAGTTCATAAAGAAACGTTTACGTATTCAAGCAGAGAACCTGCAGTCACTGTTCCTCCTGATGCCTCTCTTCTAAGTGAACCTGCATGTAAGATGTAAAAGGCAAACGGTTTGGTTTGTTTTCTTGTAGCATCCAGCAGTTTGCCCACATCTACAACCAGCGAATGGGTATCAAGGCAGAGGTGCTGCTCAGAACGCTGTGGGGAGATTTCTACCTCGATGCAAAAGCAAAGAAGATCATGAAAGGAGCTCAGGTAACGTTTCTCCCCTTTGACCTTTCTGTCTAATATCACAGCAGATGACACAATGTTTTGTGATATCTAACATTAAGTTGAGATAATCCTGGTTTAGAGCTCATCCGCTTTTGAGATTCAGAGTTTGTTAAAGCATTGTGCTGTTTGCTGTTGAATTCAAAGAGGAGTGTTCACCGCTCGCCGGCCAACCTGCTCTACTGGCCGCAGAGTGAAGGCCGACGCACTGGTTTCACTTCCTGCTTGTAAAGTCCTGCGTGTGTTGCAGAGCGATTCACCTCCAGAACAACAGGTGGAGTCACGTGTTTTGTTGAAGACGACCTAGAGAGTCACGTCTCTGTGTGTGGAAGTCGCTGGTTGCTTTATTTATGTATCATAGACTTTAGAGTAGAGAGGAAAGGGGGTCCGGGGGGGTCCGGCAGGGTCGTCCGCCTACGGCTTACTTTCTCATCTTCAGAACTCCCTTCAGGAATATCCAACCTTCACTAATCACGACCGCCACGGAGCAAATACCAGCGGAACGGATGTCATCTCCCAATAAATTAGCATTGATCTCTGGCTGTGAAATACCGCAGATGATTTTAGACCACTGTACGTCTTCCCCAAGCTACTCTGGAGCTGAAGACGTCTCTGTCCCCTGTGGACTGACTGGGCGTCTCCGTGGTGGATTTACCTCACGTGACCCAAAGCTTTCAAACCACTTCAGAGGCTCACAGCCAACTCTGTTTTAGTACCTTCAGGACAAAAATCAGATTATCTCAAGTTACAGAGCAAAGGGGGATAATAAAAAGTGTTGAGAACTAAGACCAAACAGACACGTCCAGAGATTTTAATCTACAGCTTCTCCATCAGCGTCCAGCACAAAGCACCAACCGTCTCCGGTCAAACTGCCCCTGTTATGACGGCAGAACGAGCCCAGAAGTTAGAGATATTTGTGAAAAAGTGTGTTGGAAGAATATGTAAGGAGGATGAGATGTTTATATGTTATGTATAATGTCATGTAGGCCTGTAGGCTTGACTGAATGAAACTGTGTGATGGTGTTTGAACAGATGTTGTTCTGCGATTGGGACACAACACATCTGCTCGTCTGAACTTTATCAGTGTAAAGACGACGGATGGTGGACTGGAGCTCAGCAGCACTGACACTGGAGGGGTTGTTAGCTCGTTGACGGTAGCAAATAAGGTGCGTGTGTTATTGTTTTAGTTATTACGTCAGTGCCTGTCTCTAAATAGTCTGTCTTATATGTCCCAGTGGAGCTGGATTTGTTTTGCGCTCAGCCTTCTGACCCTTTTCTCTGCTGTGGCCAGCGGGGATTTTCTCCACGGAGATCTTTGCTTACCTGAGACAACTTTTACGTCATCAATAAGAGACGGAATTGAAGCGTTCTACAAGCTCATAGACAGAGATGCAACTTCGGTATGAATAGTTGACAGGTGCTTTCAGTGATGGAACGCTTGTCTGGACATTTGTGTGCAAGGACAACAACCTTGGAAATGTTTGAGTTATGCTGCACATATTTATTGGATGCAAATTGAGTTCATCCAATGACGTATTTTTTGCGTGTAGATTGAGTTGAAGGAACATATTTCTATATTTGATTAATGGTATCTATTCATTTGGGATGAACTTGGCCAAAGGAGTTGGACTAAAACTATTGAATCCTGTTTCATGACTGGTCTTGGGTTGATTTGTGTCTACACGTGTGTGTTGGATGGAAATCCTGCACACAAAACATTTGAGTTCATCCAATGACTTTTGGGAGTGTACAGTAGTTGACTTAACTAAGATTTCCAAGCTTAGACAAAAGTTCTGCCAACTTAAATGATATTGTTCACCTAATAGGGACATTGTCCTTGTCCTTGTGAGGCTAAACAGGTTCTGAACAAGAGGTGGAAGTAAACCATAATGAGGTCAGTCTGGCGTTGCGTACACAGATTTAAACTGCTGTGTCACATCACAAGTGGCTGTTTTCCATGAGCTCTACGCACAATGAGCCCAGTTAAAAGTTACACACACTGGACAACATGTTGCACCTCTGGTGAACTGGCAACACACATCTTGTGAACGTGTTGTACAGCAAGAACACTGAACTGCCACTGACTGCAATGCAGAATTCCACACATTTTCATTTTACAGGCAACCAGGACACACAATGTATGCATGTGTGAGCATGTACATCCCCTTAACTTATACCTGAGTAATAACAAAGTTTAATAGTTGAAACCCTGAATATTTTGAAGTAGCAACTTGCATTTCCAAGTTCTGTGAATGTCCAAGTTGACTTTCATGCTAAACCATGAGGACTAACTCAAGAGAAAAGAAGCGTCATGTCCTGCCTGGCTTCCCCATTAAAAGCACAGCCAAGTTCTCCTGAATGGCCACAAAGGTAAACCTCATGTCCTCGGGATGACCAGTGTTCCCGGCGTACAGAAAGCGGTCATGAAGCTACATCTCAGGCACTCTGCTGTCTGAGGCATTGATTAAGAGAGGAACAATTAAACACAACTCATTTCACTTTAACTTTAAATGTAGTATTATTCTAGCAAACATATTTGTGGTAAGATTTTAAATTGACATGTAGAGTCAAATCTTTTTGGTTTTGGAGCGTTCGTCACACATGATGTTCAGAGACTGTGGGAGTGATGAAAATCCAACAATGATGTTTTTAACAGATCCATGCCAGGATAAGCAGTGTAGTTATGGCGATGGTTTAAATAGAACAAGCTTTTGAATCCGTCTGCAGCTTTTTGGGGTTCAGCTATATTACTGAAGTCTATTTCCTACAGTTTCCAAACACAATTTTGTTGTGTTGCTCCGCAGAAAAGTGGGCGAAGGTACTGCAGGTGGGCCGCGAGAGGTCATTTACAATAAAGTTTTTTCATTTTCAATTTTTAAAAGTTTAAAATTACACATTAGTTATGTGGAACATTAGTTGATGAAGCACAAACAATTTAAACGGACAGATTAATAAAACAATAAGGCTCTCGCTGGAAACGGCTGCTCTTGTCCGCCTGTCGTTGTTCAACAAACGCGGCGCCCTCTTGTGGTATTAAAGCAAATATAGCGCATTTTCCACACTCTAAGGCGCACTTAAAAGGCTTTAACTTCCTCACAAAACGCCGATGCCTTATAATCCGGAGCGCCTTATATATGGATCAATTGGTTACTCGGTTGATCCATACTGGTTGTACACGATTTAAGGCGTGGATGGCGAGGGGGGCGGCGGGAGCGGACGCACCTCGCGGCATCGATCGGACCCTGAACGCACCGTCTCCACCTTACTGTCAGAAAGAACCACAGCGAGCGCGTAGAAAACTCCTTTGAGCGCGAGCAGAGATTCTCCTCGTGAGCAACGAAGCTCACGTTTCGCAAGCGAGCAAATACCTCGCGGAGACGGACTTTAGCTGGCGGATGTTTGATTTTGGTTAAATTCGTAAGGTCATTTAATCATTATGTTTTGATCAGAGTTGTGATTAAAGGTTTGGGTGGCCCGCCAAATATTTTCAGATTTCAAATTGGGCCGCGGCGTTCTTGAGTTTGGGAACCGCTGAAATAGAGACATCCCTGTCACATTTGTCAGCAGTCTTGATACGCATATCAAATTGAACAACTTTTGGGATATGATGAAACACCCCAAAAAACTGAAAAAAACAAACGGAAACTTCAATTCAATTCATTTTATTTTGTAGAGCCCAAAATCGCAAATTACAAATTAGCCTCAGAGGGCTTTACAGTCTGTACACATACAACATCCTCTGTCCCGAAACCCACCATCGGCACAGGAAAAACTCCCCAAAAAATGAAAAACCCTTGCAAGAGGGAAAAAAGGGAAGAAACCTTAGTGAGAACGTCAGAGGAGGATCCGTCTCCTGATGGACAGACTACAATGGGAACATCACACTAAAATGAAAGCGGCCTACTTGGGGTACGGTTTGTATTTATTTTACTAGCTATGATGTATCATAACTAGAAAGCGGTGACGTGGAGGCCATTGGAGTACAGGGAACTCCTCGTCATGTGCAGCATCCTGCTGGAAGACACTGGTCATGAAGGGATGGACGTGGTCAGCAACAATACTGTTCCCTTTCTATCATCTCCAGTGTGGCCATTCTCCTCTGACCTGCCCTGTGAACCCTAGAGATGGTTGTGTGTTTAAATCCCAGTAGATCAGCAGTTTGTCAGCTTTGTTTTCTCTTCATTCATCGTCATGTGTTCTTTTTCCCTCTCGCCATGTTCTAGGCCAAAGGAAAGAAGCCGCTGTTCGTGCAGCTGGTGCTAGATAACATTTGGAGTTTATATGATGCTGTTGTCACTAGAAGGTAGGTGGAAGACAAAGAACCTGACATACATCTTTGTTAATTGACACATTTCTCTCTATTAACATGGTGTTTTAGGCAGCAGTGTAAGATTACTTATTGAAAGAAAGCCATATGGATGCGATGGCACATGGAGCATGGCCACACATGGAGCGCCCTGGTCCATCAGTGACGGAGCACCGAGGTGTCCTCCAGCATGTAGGACTGTGGTATTTACAGTGGGGAAAATAAGTATTTGAACCCCTGCCGATTTCGATCGTTTGGCCACTTGCAAAGAAATGTGTGATGTATAACAGAATATCAACAAAAAAATCCAGAAAACTGCATTTTATAACATTTATCACTTTATTTGCATTTGATGCAGAAAATAAGTATTTGAACCCCCAAGCAAACAGCAAGAATTCTGTCTCCCAATGAGCAGTTATGTGCCCAAGCAGCACACAGATTAGTCCCAACAAGGTAACCTGATCTCAATGGGTGATGTGTATAAAAGAACCCTTTCCAAAGAATCATACTTCACACCTTCAACCTCACCACCATGGGCAAGACCAAGGAGTCCAAGGACGTCAGAGACCAAATTGTAGACCTGCACAAGAATGGAGTGAGTTACAGAAGCATCCGAAAGCAGCTCGGTGAGAGCCGCTCAACTGTTGGTGCAATTATTCGTGAATGGAATCAACATCAAACAACGGTCAATCGCCCATCTCGTCTCGTGCAGTACCTGGGATCAGCAGAAAGGTGCGGAATAACCCCAGAACTACACGGGGGAGCTCGTTGACTATCTCAAGACAGCTGGGACCACAGTCACCAAGCAAACTATGGGCAACACACTGCGCAGTAATGATTTAAGTCCTGCAGTGCGCGCGAGGTCCCCCTGCTCAAGAAGGCGCCTGTACAGGGCCGTCTGAAGTCTGCCAATGGACACCTCAATGATTCCACGGAGGATTGGGAGAAGGTCATGTGGTCAGATGAGACCAAAATGCAGCTCTTTGGTATAAACTCGACTTGCCACGTTTGGAGGGGGAAGCTTGCGGAGTATGACCCCAAGACCACCATCCCCACCGTCATGCTTTGGGGCTGTTTCTCTGCTCAAGGCTCAGGTCGACTCCAATGCATCCAGGGCGCTATGGATGGGGCCATTTATGGTGCAATCTTGGGCGAAAACCTCCTTCCCTCAGCCAGGAAGTTGAAAATGCGTCGAGGATGGGTCTTCCAGCAGGACAATGACCCGCAGCATACGGCCAAGGCAACAAAGGAGTGGCTCAAGAAGCAGCACATCAAGGTCATGGAGGTCTAGCCGGTCTCCGGACCTTCGTCCCATAGGAAATCTGTGGAGGGAGCTGAAGCTTCGCGTTGCCAAGCGACAGCCACACAACCTGAAGGATTTGGAGAGGATCTGCAAGAGGAGTTCACCAAAATCCCTCCTGGGTTGTGTATAAACCTGGTGACCAACTACAAGAAACGTCTGACGTCTGTGCTCTCCAACAAGGGTTACTCCACCGAGTATTAAGTAATGATTTGCTTGGGGGTTCAAATACTTACTTTCTGCATCAAATGCAAATAAAGTCATAAATGTCATAAAATGCAGTTTTATGGATTTTTTTGTTTGTTGATATTCTGTTTCTCACTGTTAAAATACACCCATTATAATTATAATATAATAATATAATAATTATAATTATACATCACACATTTCTTTGCAAGTGGCCAAACTTGGAAAATCGGCAGGGGTTCAAGTACTTATTTTCCCCACTGTGTTTCAAATGGGATCACTTAATATTGATTTGTCTTTATGTAAAAACTAGCCAACAGTTCTTTGCGTTAAGTGATTTGAACTTGACATAATAAATGTTCCATCTGACTCCTCCCCTTTTCTTTGCTAATCCGAATAATGATCCGAACCTGAGGTTTGTGATCTGTTGCAGCCCTGATGGTGGACCAACGTATTTCCTGCTGTGTAACTACAACATATCTATATGCAGGATTTATCAAACTAAATCATTTCGAAGAAAAGATTATCATTACAATTTATGTCACTTAACGTTAAATACATCTTACCAGAAACAACATAAACACATAAGTCACACCCTAACCAAGAATATCCTCCAATACTACAGCTTGTTTCTACTTGTGGATCAAGATGAACTAATGAAGTCTTGATTGTACCAGTTAATAAAGCACACGTGTACACAATCCATCCTGTTTGTGTGACTAGAGACAAGGAGAAGGTGGAGAAGGTGGTGACATCACTGGGGATAAAGGTGCTGGCCAGGGACCTGCGTCACTCGGACCCCAAAGTCCTGCTCTCTGCCGTGTGCAGCCAGTGGTTACCCGTTTCCCAGGCGGTGCTCTGTATCCTTCGTCTGGCGTCGGCGATGGGATACTGGCCTCGGGGGTTTCTGCATCAGTTGGGGATGTTTGTCCATTTGGTGTCGAGTGTTCTTGAACAAAGATCGCAGTGATGGTCTGTGAGAAACTGCCCAGTCCCTTAGACATGGCGGCAGAGAGGGTTGAGAAGCTGATGAGCGTTGGAGCGCGGCGATTTGACTCGTTGCCTGAACACACGCAGGAGTTGAAAAGAGGTAAGCAGACACACGCAGGCGCCCCATGGCCCCAGCAGACATCCAGAGTCACTTTAAGAAGTGGCTTCAATCGGCTCGTGGGATTTCTGATGTCTGCTTGACTCCCTCCAGCCTTCCTCCGGTGTTCCAGCAGGGAGAACGAGCCGCTCATCATCTTTGTGTCCAAGATGTTTGCTGTTGATGCCGCGGCCTTGCCTCAGAACAGACAGAGGTGTGTATTTGTTTGGGTGTGCGTTTTCGTCCCACAACAGCTGTGTTGTATGTGTACGTGTACTTCCTCTCTAAACAACACATGGAATACGACCGTAACGTCTACAAAGCACCAACCAAGCTCTGCAGTCAGTAATAGGATCAACTTGACACAGTCACAAGTGAAGGAGCATCATCACACCCCCAAAGTGCTGATGTTCTGGTAGCTACTGGCTCTGACCTGGGACCTCTGGGGACGCGTCCCCGTGTGCTACCAATGCTTCTGATCAGGTGGTGGTCAAAGACCGCTGTGTGCTAAATCTTCTACAAGCACGGTCCACTGAGTCACCTCCTCCAGGAGCTTTCTTCAAAAGCAACTGCAATGTGCACAGGAGGCCTCCGAGGTCCTGAATGGACCTCTGATCTGCAACATAAGAACTTGTTCATAGAAACTGTTACAGGGTGATTGCCAAGGATGTCGGTAGTAACGACTATTAATTAAACCAGAGGCAAATTCATTCACTGATGACATCATTCACCCATTCACACCCATTCATTCACTGATGACATCATTCACCCATTCACACCCATTCATACACTGATGACATCATTCACCCATTCACACCCATTCATACACTGATGACATCATTCACCCATTCACACCCATTCATACACTGATGACATCATTCACCCATTCACACCCATTCATTCACTGATGACATCATTCACCCATTCACACCCTGATGACATCATTCACCCATTCACACCCATTCATACACTGATGACATCATTCACCCATTCACACCCATTCATACACTGATGACAGGAGAACCATACACAGTGACACCTGCCCATCAGTAACTAACATTCATACACTGTAGTCGCAGCTACAGGAGCCATGTTGGGTTAAGCGTGTTGCCCAAGGACACATTGACATGCGGGTCAGCAGAGCCTGGGATCGAACCCACAACCCTCTGATTGGAGGGCGACCTGCTCCCCACTCACCCACAGTCGCCCCGTATGTTGTATGTGTATGTTGTTACGACTCATTGCTTAATGAAAGAATATGGCTCAAATGAAGAAAGAGTCCAGGAGCTGGAGCCCATCGCACACGCTGGTTTTGCTGAGTCTCTCTTAGGGTAACAACTCTGCACTTCACACAGTCATAGATGATGAGTACGAGTAGCAGTAACCCAATCCGTGCACAATGACTTTGGACTTGTTCTATGAAGGACTATGACGCACCACGTTATGAACACGTTTATCTAAACGGTCCAGTCAGTGTCTTGAACGAATCTTTGGCGTTGGGTCAGCTGTTCTAAGCTGATTGGTGATGATTGTAGCAGAAAAACTCAGTGGACAAAGGCGATTTGTGTTTCCAATGTCTAATATGACGAATAAAAAGAAACCTGGTTGGAGAGCGGACGGATCTGTGCCCTCCTCGATCCAAACTACATGAAATAAAGCGAAAGGAAAAAGATGCAGCAAGAAACTGGGAATGTATTCAAAATCAACCACGCTGTCTATTCCTATCGGGAGGTTAGAGAAGGATTATTGCCGTGTTTCACTATATGTGTGCGCTTATCCACCCCCCCCGCCCCTGTTTCTGGTGCAGGTTGCTGGTGCCGGAGGGTGTGGGGGGATTATTGGCTGTTGTGGACGCACATGCTTGTTTTCCTGCATGTTTCTGTCGTTTGTCTCCAGAGCAGCTGCAAGTGGAAATGGAGCCAGCTAAATGATACCCGATATTAGCAGGCCAAAGCTAACATTAGCACTAGGCCCGATAACGTTTGCTCCTCCTGCAGCGATTGCAGCCTTTACTCAACATGTGTGTGTTCAGGCCCCTGTCCCAGGAGGAGATGGCCCATCGCAGGGAGCTGGCTAGACAGAGACACGCGGACAGGATGGCAGCTGGCTGCGTGGACCCACCTGCCCGACCTGACACAGGTAAACTTCTCACCCATCTTATTTCATTCTATAAGTACACCACACTGTATATAATGAGCTGAGGAGAGGTAGGAGACTCCGCAGCAGAGAATGTAACCGTGACATATCTCCCCCAAGCTTCTGTCTCCCTGCCAGCGAAGATGGAGAGTGTGACACCAGAAGAGGAAGAGGAGCAGCAGACCTTCGTAGCTTTCGCCCGGGTCTATAGTGGAGTGGCAAAGAAAGGACAGCGAGTATTTGTTCTGGGTCCCAAGTATGACCCCGGCCAGGGCCTCAGCACGGTAAACCCAGTTATATTACAACCTTTAGAGGTAATATGTACAGATATTCTCTGTAAGTGTCTGATTCCTTAAACTTTGTTTGAGCGCTCAAGGGCCGCCGTGATTGACAGGTGATGACAGGGGGCGTGTGCCTGGTTGGGTCAAAGCATCCTAGTATGGGGGAGACTGGGTTCTTAGGATAATAACAATAATTAGCGTACTGGCTCTATATAATAGAAAATTGCACTGAATTTTATTAAATAAATATTTTCACCAAATTTTTGAATGGCTCCAATCCAATTTCACATATATTTTTCAATCTCCGAGAGGTTCTATTAAAACCACTGGACTGGACCAGTGGTTCCCAAACTGGGGCTGCGGTGGGCTAATAAGGGGGTCGCGGCTTTTCACGTACAGCCGTGGTAAAAAATAGTGAGACAAGCAGCATGAGAAAGACACAGTGGGACACAGGAAGATGCCAAACACCATCAGTGGGGTTCAGAGGCTTCTGTGAGGCAAGACCCCCCTGCGTGTCCCTTCACGCCTCCTTGCGTGCGTGGACTCATTTTTCTCGACTAGCGTGTAAAGCGACGCAGCGTCCTGCAGCACCAGGCTGTGATTGGTCTCTAACTACGTCCTTTAGAGTCTCACGTCTCCGTTTTCACAGCACAACACGGCCGTTATTAAAAGGAAGAACATTTACGAGAGAACGGATCAGATTGAAGAGCTTTTAAATATGAGCGCTTGTACAAGCCGTCATTGGAGGACTATGAGGACGCCGGATGGCCTCTGATTCATGGAGGGAGATCTCCACAAACAAGGGAACAAAGTCGTGGAGGAAAATACGGGACAAATGTGTCCTTGATGAAAAGCAGCAGTGTGGATGCACGGGGCGATAAAGTCTCTGATGAATAAATAAAGCAACCAGCGACTTCCACACACACAGACGTGACTCTCCAGGTCGTCTTCTTTTTTCCTGTTAAATCTAATCTGAAATTGACCAGATGTGACAGTCCTGTGATTGATATTTTGTCTCATGGATGGTATTTTGAGAGGCTTTCACTTTGGAATAGTACATCAGAATGTCGATGGTTACTCTCTGCCTGATGTTTATTTAATGTGTAACTATTGATAGTTTCCTTTTAAATCTAAGCCGCAGTAGTAATTACCTTCACTCCACTGCATCCACATGTTTTATACTGAGCCTACAAATCAAATCTGTTGTTTCCATTGAAATCCGCTAGCTGCCCTTGCATTGTGATAGCAGATCTCCTTTAGTGAGCCTCTGTGCTCACCATGGTGACGGTCATGTCTCCTCCCTGCCAGTTGCCAGAAGGTGTCAGTGCTTCAGACTGTGTGTCTGCCGTGCCTCATCTGTCCTGCTGTTCTATGGAACGTCTCTACCTGCTGATGGGACGGGAGCTGGAGGAGCTGGAGGAGGTGCCTGCAGGAAATGTCCTGGGTAAGAACAGCCTTCTGATTTCTGTTCTCTAGTTGGTTCTCTAGACAGACGTAGCTGGTGGAGGCAGATGGAGACCACAGCGTTTTCACTCCTCCTCCCCCAAATAATAAAACCAACATTTACAATTTACTTTCTTTTTTTGGGTTGTTTTTATCTGTAAAGCTGCGTGCGTGCGCGTGCGTGCGTGCGTGCGCAGAGAGCAAACTGGAAACTGGAGTCAAATACATACATTTGGCGCTTAGGGATTGGTTCCTCTTTGATCTTTGTGGACGTGCTGGTCTGATGTTCTTCTCCCAGGTATCGGCGGTCTGGAGGACAGCGTCTTGAAGTCGGCCACCCTGTCAACCTCCCCCGCCTGCCCGCCCTTCACCGCACTCAACTTTGAAGCCACGCCCATTGTTCGGGTTGCCATAGAACCCAAACATCCAAGTAGGTGTCGGGAGGCACACAAACGCACACTTTGCTTGTGGCGATATGTATTTGGCCTTTTGGTCTTTGACTAATGAATCATTGAGATCTATCTAACACCCAGCACACTAATGAGTTCATGTGGAGAGGTACATACCGCCCACAGTACCCAACACATTGTCCTCAGACATTGGTGGAACCAATGAACCTAGTACTGCTAGTACTGCTAGTACTGCCATTTATAAATCTGAACATTACCAGTGGAACCGTTCCTGTAGATCCCATTGGCCTGAAAGAGGGAGCGTCGTGTTCCCGGAGTGAGGAAGTGCTTAAGCAGCTGATCAAATATTTGATGCCGTTAACTAGTTAACATGCGCTAACTTGCCTTGAACTATGATATGTGATATGATATACTATGATATACTATGATATGTGCCTTCCCCTCTATCGGCACATGGATGAGAAGGTGTTCAAACTGAACTAGTAGTAGACCAATGACTAGTTCACACTGCAGACAGACCAACGCTACATTCTGGTTCTGCAGCCCCTAAAATGTTATTCAGCCCGCCCAAATGACTTAGCTTATAGAAAAACTTCAATTGTTACTTTGATATCGTTAAATGAAAGCGTTCTGGTTTGTATGTTTATATCCATGACGAGCTTCCCCAGTCCAACAGAAATATAACCAGAACAAACGCGTATGAAAGCGTCTCGGCTGCAGTTCCCATTAATCAACAAAACACGGCAAATTTGAGCCTTTTGAATTTCCCCTTCCATACGTCCCATACATGGCTGTGTGCTTTTAAGTATTTACTATTAAAAATGAATTCAAACCAAATGGCGTCATCAGGCACGCCTCCGCGGCGGATCGGCCCCTTGAGGTGATTGACACCTCGTTGGAATCGTTAGAGCCTATGAAATGGAGCCATGTCCATCTTAGCGGGATTGGCAGGACTGTGAGCCGAACACGATCTACAGAGCAGCTCAATGGGGACGCGTGACCTTTGAACCCTTCTGTGATCAGTGCATTTTTGTAACGTGGTTACCTTAACATTTAGCTTTTAATGGTAAGCGTTGCACACAAATATCCATGACACATGTACCTTGGAAGAACATTGGTATCTCATTTGATCAGGCGACCTTCTCCACCATCCACCTTCTCAGTGTAGTTAAATATACGTATTCATCCTGTCAGCGTTTAAGGGGGACATCTGGTGCGATGTTGTTTAGTTAAGAAAAACCTTTTGTTTCTTTTCACCCACTTTTCCCCTCAACAAAGTGCTGATTCAGACTAATGGTGTCGTGAAAGAAAATGCGACTAAAGTGTTTGTGCGCCAGGTGAGATGCCAAAGCTGGTGCGTGGGATGCGTCTGCTGAACCAGGCAGATCCCTGTGCTGAGGTTCTGATTCAGGAGACGGGAGAACACGTCCTGGTCACTGCGGGGGAGGTTCATCTCCAGCGCTGCCTGGACGACCTCAGAGACCGGTCAGTGTGCGTCTAACCACGGGAAGGTCTCCGTCCGCCTCTCTGACCGCGCTCCTTTTCTCTTCCATCACTGTGTACATTTGGTTTGGGGCTGTTTAGGAAACCTAATTTGGGCAAATGGTTGCTTAATGCAAAGGAATGTTTTGCATAGATAATGTTGCATTATTGGCCTGACACCAATATGGAATCCTTCATTATAATCACCAGCCTGAGCGAACGGGACCAATAGTTTAGTCGCCTCCAACTGGCTGCACCTTTTGTTTTCAATGAATTACGTTATAATACAGGCAGGTACCTGTGCCTTCAGTTTATTGTTGTTTGTTCTGCTGAAATAAATAGTAATAATAAAATCAATTTCCAAACATATTGGACTTTAGACGGCGTTTAACTATTGCTTTCACACATATTAATACATTTATATTCTTGAATATATATATATATATATAACATCACATGTTAAGTTAGTAAACTAAGCAATAACTTACTACGTTACATCACAGGTCATTTAGCTGACGCTTTTATCCAAAGACACTTGCATTACATTTTGAACCCATGGTGTTTTACAGTGACGTGTCTCCCCTTGTGTCGTCATGAAATGTGAAAAAAAGAAGGATGTATATATATATATATATACACACATATTCTGAATGATGTGTAAGTGAAGTGAAAGGCCTTGTCTGCCATCCCTCTGAGCAGCATAAAGAGGCTGCCACATATCTCATTACATTCATCACTCCTGCAGTAACAAGCTTTTATTTCTATTATTCTGGTCAGGCAATATTTAAATCCACATGACCCCCCCCCCGTTAAAATATGTCATTGCATCTCGGCCACATTAATGCTGACAGCTCTAGTCCTATTTGATTGCTCCGTGTTAACATATTAGCTTTTAGCCTGTGTTCACGTCCAACCGTAGCTCGGTGTGGGAGTTGGACCTCGGGTTAGATGGATACGGGTCCTTCATCGGGGAAGTGGTCCTTACAGCCTAAATACTCACGTCTCTAGTGGCATTAACGGTACTTCTACTTGTCTTCTGAAGGTTTGCTAAAATTGAGTTCAGCGCGTCCAAGCCCATCATCCCATTCCGAGAAACGGTGGTCCGTCCTCCAAAGGTGGACATGGTGAACGAGGACCTGGGCAAGCAGCAGAAAGTAGCCATTATTCATAAGGTCCGTCAAGCACACATTGTTTGAGCCTCAGTCCAGGTCAACATATGAGCCGGTGACTGAAGGTCACCGTGACCGTCTCTTGTGTGTGTGTGGACGCTTTAGGTAAAAGAAGAGGCCCGTTGGTCGGACACCCTGAACGTGGACTCCAGTGGTCTTGTCACCCTCACCACTCCCAACAGACTGGCCACGGTCAGCGTGCGGGCGTCCCCCCTCCCACCGGGTGAGACGTGGACCTACGGAGCAGAAATAACTACTGACGCTAAGAGTCTCCTCCTGCAGGGCCCTCGCTCCACGGGGGGGCTGCAGGTGGTCTGCTGTAGGCCGGCGCTTTGTTTGTAATAATAAGGCCTTCAGGGGGCCAATTATTCTCCCCAATCGTTACACACGTCCCGTCAAAGACTCATAGGGAAGATGGGGTATCTGTAAACATCCCAAAGTTTGAATTCAATTCACTTTATTTAGTACAGCTCAACATGAGAAATTAGCCTCAGGGGGCTTTACAGTGTGTACACAAGCAACACCCTCGGTCCTCACAAAGACACATTAGTGTCCGAGCAGCACGTAGAACGTTAGAGAGACACTGAAGATGGCTGGATGGGGTCCAGCTTCCATCCAGGACCTGGTCCAACCCGACACCCCGACCCGCACTCTCCACTCTGCATGTGATAAACTGCTTGTTCCTCCTCACTGAGAGCAAAACACTCGACTAGATCTCCACTCTTTGCTGTCCTGCTCCTAAATGGTGGAAGGAGGTCTCTGAAGACATCAGGACCACAGAGAGCCTTCACATCTTCAGACTAAAGACACACCTCTTCACACTCTACCTCCACTAACACACTACCTGCAGCACTTACATTGGACTTATAATGGTTCTTATCTACAGCAAGTTGTACATCCACCTTTTCCTTTGCCTGATAAACCTCTCTGTGACATCACCCTACGCCCTGCAGCCTCTTTAGTGCTGTAGTCTGACTGTTGGCCCCGCCCACCGGCCTGTCCTTTTGTCAGAGGTGACCGGTCTGTTGGAGAGGAGCACAGAGCTGATTCGGACCCTGGAGCAGATCAACATGTCCCTGAGGGAGGGGAGGAGTCTGGACATCAGCCCCCGGACCCTGGAGGCCATCGCTGGATTCAAGGTCCAGCTGGAGAGTCTGCTGCAGGGCCGGAAGTGGAGGGATGTCGTGGAGCACGTCTGGGCCTTTGGGCCACGCAGGTCGGACAGCAGCTGTTCAAATGGACTGTGCTCTATTGCACATGTGTTTAAAACCAGTTATCTGAGATGTTTGTTGACTGTACGGCCGGATGAGGAACCAGGAGCAATTGTTCTCTAATATTCATTATTGTGTCGTTTGTAATGCACGGCCGTTTTTGCAAAGCTTGCAGTCTACGGTGGGTGTTGAGTTGTGGATTTCAAACTGTGTCCTTCCAACCTTGAGCATGCAGCCTCCTCAGTGTTGTACAGTGAGTGGGGAGTACCGCGCCGTAAGTACGTCTCAGTGTCCCCGCCTGCAGCCTCATCGGCTCATCTGGCTCAGCAGCGTCTCACCGATGGACCGGACTAAGTAGGCATGTGTGGGAGTCTTTGGTCAGTACGATCTAGACAACGTTGGGAGGAGGAGTTATCAGAAGTTGGTTGTTTTGGCCGTTGCCGTGGCAACCTTTTCTTCGCCATAAAAGACGAAGGCGATTTTGGGGGCTTCAGATGCTTGAAACGGAACCAAACCTGCAGACGCATTTCGATTGAGTTACCCTGGGCAAGTGTTCTATAGCGCCCCCTACAAAATGTTGACGTAGCAGTGGCAGTAGTGTCGACCGAGACGTGTTGGCAATCAGTGATTAGGAGCCACGCTCTTGGTTCCCAGGCGCTGTACCAACAAACTCGTAGAGAGTTGATTGTTACCTTTTAATACAACGTAGACCTCAGGGCGGCATAGACCATCACACCGCAGTCCACTCACATCCACGGGTCACAGCGCCACCTACTGATGGCTGTAAGCAGGATCCTACTGTGTCACCAGGAAACCCCACTTGTCTAATGAGCAAAGAAAGAAGTTTGATGCTTGTACTGTAGTTGTTATCAATAGCACAGGGATTCTTTTTTCTCGAGGCTGTTAGGTGACGTTATTGAATCGATCCTCACCCAGCATAATTCACATTATAGGCTCTTCCTTCTTTGTTTTTCCACATGGGTGTGTACAGTCCACCATCTCTCCTGACCCCACTCAGCAGGGACGGGTTCGCTGGCCTTTTGCAGTGCATATTTTCCAGCTTACCGTTAAGATTTAAGACTTAAGTGATCAGGTGGACACAAACCCAAATAAACAACGTGTCTCTGGGTGGTGTCCTAAGCAAACGCATCAGCTTTTATTTGGTTTGTTTATCCAGCAAATCTCAATGAGATTGCCCACACAACTGGGGTCCTTGTTTTCAGATATGGTCCCAACATCCTGCTGAACCGGGTGGCGGGCTACCAGCGGCCTTCGCTGTGGCAGTGTTTGGGCGGAGGAGTCCAAGCTGGCGAGGCCGCCGCCACACGAGACCTGGATAACAGCATTGTCAGCGGCTTCCAGCTAGCCACTCTGTCAGGGCCCATGTGTGAGGAGCCCCTGATGGGGGTTTGCTTCTCTGTGGAGAAGTGGGACATCCAGTCCTCCGTCCCGCCACAACACCAGGAGGAGGCTTCCACATCCCGCGGGACCCCAGCAGACTGCAAAGGGACGGGAAGCGGTGCGACGCGGCCGGAGGCCACCGAGCACGGGCCGATCCCGGCAGGGCTCAGGCCCGAGGCAGCGGCGGACTGCTACGGGCCCGTCTCCGGACAGCTGATCGCAGCCATGAAGGAGGCGTGCCGTCACGCCTTCCAGGCTCAGCCCCAGAGACTCATGGCCGCCATGTATACCTGCGAGATAATGACCACCGCTGACGTGCTGGGTAAGACGATATCGTTGACCACTCCTTTGTCAAACCAAGAAATATTCTTGGTTTGACAAAGATCCGTTTTATTAATTGTTGTACTCTTTAGCCATGAAAAGATTAATTTGTCTCCTCTTACTCAATTGTGGACATGAAATAGTTTGGTTTCTATTTGTCCAGCTTTTGAGATATCTGTCTCTGAGATGTTTGCTTCAACCCCAGTAAAGTGAGAGCTTGTGTTTACACACTCATGGTACATCTACTCTAAAGTATTTCCTCCAAGATGAATTCATAGAAAATGGATGTGCAATATTCAGTTCTGTGCCAGTTAGGAAGTTCCGCTTATTCTAAAGGTCAAGTGACCTTTTTGCAGGTTCACTCTGTCAGAGTGAAGAGATGTCTGCACTACTTCCTTCCCTTTGCAAAGGAACAGCTGATCTGCAGCTTTTTGTCAGCCAGCTTGAGATCAAATTGAGGATTTGTGAGGGTGTCTCCATATGTCTAACAAACTGGGTCTAATGTGTCGTCCATGTCTGAAGTCTCAGTGCTCGTAGCTGAAAGGTCCTGCCATCTTAGAGAGGCCGGGCATTGTTGTGCATCAGGAGGAACCCAGGACCTATTGCACCGGAGTAGGGTCTGCACATATCGGTCCAGCTCTCCTAGAGGAACTGCCTGACTCCATGTTCTGGAGATGGTGCCAGGAGACACCAAATCTCCTTACAACGGCACAGGTGGATGTTCCATCCTGGAGGAGGATAAAGCCAACACTAGTGGAGAAACTTGAACTGGCCATCACATGCAAAACCAGTCCTGTTGGTGGTCGTCTCATTGTTGTTAATTCCATCAACACCAATGAGAATGATTAACCCCAGAGGAAAGCATCTGACAGCATATGATGTGATGCACATTTTAGTCGACAATATATTAAAACATTTGATATTATCACCTTAAACTCCATTACAGGTGTTTCTTTTGTAAGTGTCCACTGTGCACAAACTGAAGTAATGTAATGCACCTTTATGTATTTCCCCATTATATTTAGTCAAAGCCTCAGAGCCGAATGGGGCAGCGGGTGTCCGATCACTAGAGCAACAACTACATAGATCCTCATTATCGGCTACTTGAAGAAAATGCCCCCAAAAATAGCAAACTAGAGATGAAGTTCAAACCTTCAATGTGGTTGGTCGGTATCTGATCATGTGACCATATTGGGTGTGTCGTGACACTCCCCCTCTTCCCGTACCAGGCCGAGTGTACGGTGTCCTGGGGAAGCGGGAGGGCCGCGTGCTGCACGAAGAGATGAAGGAAGGGACGGACATGTTCATCATCAAGGCCGTTCTGCCGGTGGCCGAGAGCTTTGGGTTTGCTGACGAGTTCCGCAAAAGGACCAGTGGCCTGGCCAGTCCACAGCTGGTCTTCAGCCACTGGGAGGTAAACGTTGCATAGCTACATACATATACATGTCCCCAACACTGGTTACATAAGTCACTGGGTAACGTCCATTCTTCATTCCTGTTTTGGGAGTCACGTCTCACGCGTGTTTGGTAAATGGTCGCGTGCACGACGCCGCGCCGATTGACAAACAAATGTTAACTACTTTAAAAGATTTTGTTGCATTAATCGTGGCCACATTAATCGCATAGATTAATGCATTAATGTTTACAGCCCTAATATCTAAATATATCTATATTTAGTTATACATGTATTCATTGATATACTAAGCTGTCCTTATTATGTTAAACTGTTGGAATAAATGTTAAATATCTAACTGCAAACTAATAATGCGTGTTTGATACCCTTTTTTGCATTGAATCTTACTCTGATTCAATTCATTGTATTTTGTAAAGCCCAAAATCGCAAATTCTAAATGATCCTCAGAGGGCTTTACACATCCTCTGTCCCGTAACCCTCACATCGGCACAATGGAGAGACAGAGGAGGATCCGTCTGCTGATGGACAGACTAAATGATGTCATGTGTACAGGATGAACATTGTAAAAGATGTACAATACATTCAATATGTAGGACGTGTACAGAAACTGATTGGCTGCTCACATCTAAGGGCTGTTTTACCCAGAGTGAGATGCCACATGTGTGGTTAGGTGGGTGATTCCTGGCGGGCTTTAATGTCCGGTAGCAGCTTGTTTTAATGCTTTGGCGGGAGCCCGACGGTATGAATGGCCGTAGTGAGCAAAATAAGAATATGAACCACGAGCAGGTCAAATCTAAAATCCACTCTTGCTATAATCTGGCATAAACCTGTGATAGTGTGACTTTGTATGACAGCCGTAGGGGGGAGAATAAACTGTCATATGTTGTTAAACACAATACTACCATCATGACTACATTGAATCCCTCTTTGCCCTCCAGGTGATCAGCAGTGACCCGTACTGGGTTCCCACCACAGAAGAAGAATACCTGCACTTTGGGGAAAAAGCTGACTCTGCAAACCAGTCCCTGAAATACATGAACGCTGTCCGTCGCCGCAAAGGCCTTTATGTGGAGGAGAAGATAGTGGAGCATGCAGAGAAGCAGAGAACACTCGGCAAGAACAAGTAGAGAAGAAAACACATGCAGCTCCTCCAGGAACCTGCACAGAACTGTGGCTGCGTACCAAGTGTTATACACAGCTACTCATTTCTATATTTGTGCTTAACAATTTACATCAATAAAATGAGTCATCTTGATTGCTTCATTTCAATGAGCAGTTGTTTGTGGAATGTGGACATTATTTGTCATTGCTTCACTGAATGGCTTTGATCCCCATCATTATGGGACGCATCTACCTGTGAGATACAGGGTGTAGTTAATCCCACCGTATACCTCCACCCTGTGTCTGTCTGGGATTATGAGCAGTAAAACCAAGTGACACAAGGGTGACTGCGTCCCTCCAGTTACCGAGAAGAAACCCATGCGAGTGGGACGGTTGTGTGCGTCGACATTTATTGTCCTTATCAATAGGGAACTACATTGATTCAGAAATCAGAAACCCACCACCTCAGTCAATAGACTCACGCAAAAGTCAGTCAAAATAAAGAAACATTTCAAAAAGCAGCAGCACTGGAGAGTCTCTCCAAAAGACTGGAGTCGATTTACCATTTCCTATTCGGGATAAGACTGACTTTCAAAATAAAAGCCCTGTTGCACTCAAGCATCTCCTGTTTCCAATGGAGCAGGACCAACTTCCTCCCGCCTCAACACTTTGGAATTGATCGATATCCCCTTTGTGCTAAGAAAGAAATCTTATGCAGAGAGACTTTCCCTTGTGGAATAATGCAGTCTGACAAACAACTATGTAGGAATGTACCACTATCACATTAGTTAAGTAACATGCTGCCTACAGTATTTTAATTGGTGACTATTATCTCATATCAACCTTTCAATTTACTGTAAATACTTTTACGTTTTTTTTGAGAATTGAATTTATTTAGTAGTAAACATTTTAATTGCAAAAAGTTTTTTTTTTATTCAAGAGATGCCTTTTATAAAGCTTTGAACTGGTATGTTTCAGCAGATATCCATATCTAACAGTACATTGAAACTGAAGGACGTAAATGATTAAAACGTATTTTTGTTTAGTTTTGACTTTTGAAGTTGATTTTCAACTCACAAAATGTTTGCTTTTATTTTTGCACAATAGACACAGAACAGTCTCCTGGACGAAGGTCCAACCGCCCCGTGACGACTATCTTCAGCCTGACAGAGCTAATGAATGAATGAGTTCTCTCATCTAATGATCTTCAAGCACCGACATTTCCTTTGCATTATGTCATCGATATGGTTTCCTCTCTGAAGCCTTATCTTGTTTGATGGCATTCCACACTGACTGACATATTCCTGTCGTGAAGCTCTCCTCCTCCATTGGCTTTGCATCAATTGTTTCAGGTTTGTTTGTTCTGACGGTGCTGCTTATTGCCGAGAGAAATTATCCTTCCACATGTTTCTCTGCAACCCCAACAAATGTAATTGGCCTTTTTACAGACGTATTTAATCACCTGCCACTGAGCACAACGTGTTTTGGGGTAATCCATACAATTTGCAGACAAGTTAAACGTGTCTGATTCAACAAAATGCCACTGCCCTGGGAGAACACAGCTTGATGTTAGATGAAACCTATCAATCGATCTGTTGAGATCTATTGATTAGTGCTGTTAATGTCTAATGATGTGACTTGTAGACGACATTCACTAAAGGCTCTGCAAGTGTCCACAGTAAACGTGAGAACCGGCCGAGCAGTGAGGCACAAACAAGAGGCAACAACAAAGAAACTGGGGTTCTTTTAGGGCGGACCCGCCCACTTGCTGCCGCCCAGCCAATCAGCTCAGGGATATGCAAATGAGCTCACCGCACTGCATTGTCCCTGCCCCGACGACGACGTCATCCGCGCATCTCGCTGTCTGGCTCTGCAAAGGACTCAGACAGAAGCAACAGAGGAGCAGGGAGAAGCCAGCAGGGGGTGGGGGAGGGCTGGGGGGGATTTGGGAGGGAGTGCCCTTTGTCAGGAAGGGAGATTATTACTCTCTGGAATAAACAGATCGGGTTGGGTCGGACCGAGACCACCACTGTCCATTGGAAAACCAAGTGGCTCATGCTTGTTTTATGGCTGCTGCGTCTCTCTTCTTCTGTCCCATTGATCTGCAGAGCGAGTCCGCTCCTCTTCCCTCTCCTCCTCTTCTCCATTCACCCGCCTTCCTTTTGCCAAGATGCCCAGCTCGCTCTTTGCAGACAGCGGCGTCCAAGGAGATGTCCTGCAGACCGCCCTGAACCAGCTCTCCCTCCTCGTCTTGGACAACGACGAGGAGCCCGGTCACGACGGCCAAGAGGTCCGGGGAAGGAGCGTGAACATGACCCAATGCGTCCCGGTTCCCAGCTCCGAGCACGTGGCCGAGATCGTGGGCAGACAGGGTGTGTGTTTCTCCCTTCCTCTCTATGTCTCTGACATGTTTAGCAGTGGAACATCTCAGGTAGGAGCACGTCCTGATGTCTGCTCGTGTGGGACGACAGCATCTTTTAACCAGTCAACCAGACGCAGACGTTGCAGGTTTCACGCTGTTCTTCTAGAATACAGTCCTGTGGGTGCAGCGACACTCAAGCTGACTAAAAAAGTTACAAATTAGGTTACATTTTGTGTGCGCTAAATGGTAACATGGTCATATTGTGTGAGGTGCATTCATAAGTGTGCACGTGAAATGAAGCATAAAGGGACTTTTGGTTTGGGGAAAGTGGACAGTCCTTCCATTCAATGAGAAGACCACGCTGCAGCTCCAGAACCAGAACAAACACCTGCTCTCAGTCCACATGTCCGTCCTGGTTCATCTCTGGTTTGCCCATCAAATCTCTGCCCTATATTATGAGAATCCGCTAAACCAGATGGACATTGGCACATATAGCTGCACAAACTGAGACCAGCGACACGGTGCTTGTGCCATCGCCGCCCTTCATGTGGCATCTCTTCCATCCCTGCAATGCTGCTGCTGCTCCGAGGAAAAGTACAGCAGCACATCGCCCTCCACTGTAAAGCCTTCACAGGGGTCTGTTTAAGTAGAAATGAATAAGTGGATTAACCGTGACAGCTGCCATTATTCAAAACACGGACCCTTTTCTCATTCAACCTACATCAGCATGATATTAACTCATGCAAAATGTATGTCCGACATTTCAATAGAAGGCTGAGTTCACCCTCCTCCTCCTCCTCCCTGGTTACATCACAATGTCCCAGCTGCCTTTGCTCGGCTAATTCTGTAGTTCCCACCGACGGCCTCATCATCATGAAGAAACGCTGTTGAAGGTATTGAAATAGTACTTTATGCAACAAAGCCAGAACAGGACGTCAAGAAGCCGATAAAGTGAGCAGCTGTTGGAGCTGCTGACCATATTTTAGCAAACAATCTTTTATTTTTGTATTATTTTGTTCCTGCTGTGTGTCGTTACCTTGGAACCTGTCCTCACGTCCACCTTTTGTATCCATGCTTCAGGTTGCAAGATCAAAGCGCTGCGGGCAAAGACCAACAGCTACATCAAGACGCCGGTTCGTGGCGAGGAGCCGGTTTTCGTGGTGACGGGCAGGAGGGAGGATGTGGCAATGGCCAGGAGGGAGATCATCTCTGCTGCTGAGCACTTCTCCCTGATCCGAGCCTCCAGGAACAAAAATACCAGCATGAACGGGAGCAGCACCCCGGCCGCCGGACCCCCGAACCTGCCCGGAGAGACCACCATCCTGGTGCGGGTGCCTTACCGCGTGGTGGGGCTTGTTGTAGGACCCAAGGGTGCCACCATCAAGCGCATCCAGGAGCAGACCCACACCTACATTGTGACACCCAGCCGAGACAAGGAGCCGGTGTTCGAGGTGACAGGGATGCCGGAGAACGTGGACCGAGCTCGTGACGAGATCGAAGCCCACATAACCATGAGGACAGGGGGCGTTATTGAGCTTCAGGATGAAAACGACTTCCATGCCAACGGGACTGATGTGGGTTTTGACCTGCACGGACACGCCCCTCTGTGGTCTAAGCCCTGCTCGGGGAGGACCCCCAACTCAGTGCGTAAGCCCTTCTCCAACAACTGCAACCATTTGTCTTCCTCTCAGGGTAGTGCCTCCACAGATGCATTCTTTGGCAACGACAGCCCACGTATGGCCACCTACATCGGCCCCAGCGCCTCACTCAGCTACAACGATAACAACAACAACAACAACAACAACATAGATGTCAACACTCACAGCAATGGATTCATTTACCAAAATGAGCTGTCCTCGCCTGACTGCAGTAATCTGAGTTTGGATTCCTCCTCTGGGTTTGACACGTCGACCCTCCTTTGGTCCCAGTATGATAGTGGCATAGCCCCCTCCTCCACCGGCTGCAGCCCTCCCACCACTACCTCTGTCACTTTCCCCACCAACACCTCCACCAATTCCAATGGAGTAGTGGTGAGTCACAGTAGGGTTAATGGTTGCACCTTCCAGCCGGGACGGTCGTCTTCCCTCCAAGGCCCCAGCCAGCCCCCGTTAGCCCCAAGGGTGCGTAGTGATCGTGACAGGGGCTCCACCAGTTTCCCTGCTTACTGCAGCAATATGGCCTCCCTGCCAGGCTCTCATCTCCCCAGGGTTCTGTGCGACTCGTCTCCTTCGTCGTCCTCCTCCCTCCACGTTGTCTGGCACCAGCATAAAGGCATCCGTGAGTGTTCCATGTGCTTTGAGAGTGAGGTCATTGCAGCCCTGGTCCCCTGCGTGCACAATCTCTTCTGCATGGAATGTGCTAATCGAATCTGTGAGAGGAACAAACCTCAATGCCCCGTCTGTCACAGCCGCGTCACTCTGGCGATGCGTATATTGTCATAACGCTTTAGTGAAAGCAACAAACAGACTCCTCAAAATGCTCTAATACGGTCATGGGTCTGTAAAGTGTACATAGATATACATGTATGTGTGAGAGGCTGCAGTAATCGGCCAAAGGAGATTGTGGTTGGTAATAAACCGTAGCTTTGGGAAATATGTTCTACATCTAAGTGCATGTTTTAAATATGACAGCAGAGTAATCAGCTGTTCTAGTAAATAGGACCCTGTATGTATGAGGTGACGGGGCACCGTATAGTCTTGACGTGGGGACGGGGTCAGTGTAGTGAGGGGGGGGCCCATGGCTGGGAAACATGGAGGGCCTCCAGCCACACAGGACAAAGACACAGCAGCTCCAGATCAGAAACGACGGCAGGAAGAGCAATCTATCTCATATATGTCTAGAATCATTTCCACCAGTCGCATTTCAAATGACAATACACAACCATACGTAGTATTTGGAGCTCTTTTAACTTTTGCATTTCCTGAGGCAAAGATGTTTATAGATATTTTTGATTTAAGTTCAATGGGCTTTTTAGAACTGGGTTGAAATATTGTTTATTTTTCAGTATGGAGTTCTGACATTGATCAATGTATTATTTTCATATGAAATGGCTGTTGGAGTAAATCCCAGTCGGTCTAATGTGTTTAACATCCGACATTCTGTTGGATGGACTTTTTATAGGTGTAGCAAAAAAGTATTTTAAATCTTTTTCACCCAGCATATTTTTTATTCAGTAATATAAAGCATATGTTAATTCTATATTGTTATGGGACATTGAAATGAGTAAGTTTATCACAAAGAAACCGTTTATGCTTTGTAAAATTTGTATGAATTAGATTCCAGTGGGAATTAAAGGCTTCTGTTGCACCACTATGGTTTTAGTATTTCTATTTTAATATATTTGTTTACCAGTTGTTCATGTATATGTAGGCGTAATTTACTTGAGCCTAAATGTACTTTATTGAGCAAAGTTTAAGAACAAACTATATTTTATTTAATGATAAAGGGCCTTTAACTTCATGGTAAAATGCTATATATATATGCTAATATATTTGCTGAGACAAGATTTGAAAATGTATCAAGAGTTTTATTTTTCTGACATTTAAAGTTATACATGCTAAAAAGTCAAACTTAAGTTATGGTGCTGCTTAATGTTTTTTTAAGTATTTCTATACAAGTACAATAAAATGGTACATTCACAAGATGTGGCTTCTTGTTGTTGAGTGATTTGTTCTGCTGATACGGAGAGTTGAGCATCGTTCGATCCTTTTTTTGACATTTGACTCTTCCTAATATCAGAGGGGGCAGTAAGCGCTGGGGAAGTGAGACTTCTTCGTCCCATCGTGTGTAGACATTTGGAGACCACCGTCGGCCGTGGGAATTTGTGCTGGGCAGTAATTGTTTAAAGCATATAGTTAAACTTTTGTATTATTTTAGAACTTCGCCAAATTGAAAAAGCATTGAGAGCTGCATGGTCCAGTGGGCCGGTGGTCAGTGATCGCAGACGAGAAAAAACTTTCTTTGAGGTGACGAGGATTCCTAATAAATTAAAGAATTAATGAACTGATTAAACTTTTATTTGTACACCACAATCTTGTAAGGATGCAGCCGCCGAATTGAGACACACTCTCTGGACTGTGGGAGGAAGCCGGAGTACCAGAAGGAGACACGGGGAGAACATGCAGACTGCACACAGACAGTGGAACCAACGGTGCTGACCACCACGCCACCGTGCCCCCCAAGTCTGTACACGTGACCTTTACAATACATGTGTGTAAATACTAAATTAAATCCGTTCTCTGGACTCTCTGCAGCCTGATTCCATGTGTTCCTGTTGGAAACGCTGACAGATCGTAAAGTGAAGAGATCAGGCTCTAATGATACGTTTCAAATGGAAACATCCAACACGTGGAAAGTGGCCTCATAACCACTGAGTCACTCAAAGAAATACTCACCCTGCTTGTTCGTTTTTCAAATCGTTTGATTCATTCAACTTAAAAATGCATTATTTTTTTGTTTAATTTACATTTTTAAACCAATGCATCATGATACATTTCAAGATGATCCAGCATGGCTGTGCGGTGCATCCAACCTGTACAGACGTGTAGTGTGAAAGCTTCCCTGCGTAGTTGTTGGAATGCTGCTTCAGCAACAACGATTCTGGGTTCTAACATTTGACAGAGGGGCTGGGACAGGAACAGATAGAGTCTTTGTGTGAACTACTATGAATTCTGAATATAAAAATATAAAAAGAAAAGAAATTAAGGATTTGGTTTTTAACAAGAAGCAACGCATTTATTTGAAAGGCAATTTAACTCATTTCACAAACAATTCAAAAACATGTTGTATTATGACTGATGGCCTGCGTCCAAACCAATGACATCACTTCAACTTCTTTATTATCTACATTAATTGATTAAAGTTGACTATGGAGGATATGGGCTAATGAACTTCGCAAGGGGTGTGGCTTAATCTGGCAAGACTCCTCACCAAACGTGTGAACATTGAACCCCTGAACACACCCTGTTTTTTTGAGAATATTTGAAGAATAAGGGGCGCTGCTATTAATCGTTGAAAATCGGCCTTTTTGGCCTATTTTCATGATTTCTTGAAGTTGTAAAAGACCAAACTCCTCCTCGGGATTGAACCAGATTCTTTTCAAATTCGCACAGTGTGATCTTGAGAACCTACACTCTAAAAATTGCATTTTGTTCATTGCAATGTGCATTTAACCTGGACGAGGAGCACCACACTGATTATCACCCTCTTGATGTTTGAGTAACAGGAAGACAAACGGTTTGTGTGTATTTGGGATGTAGTCCTATCCAATAAAATATGAACGGTTTAATTGTTACTGTATCCAACCGCTCTTATGAAGAGGAAACCATTATAAAGCTAATGCAGTGTGATGTAACAACAGCCCTGAATTTAATGTTCACCTCAGTAACGTTTTATGTGTTTCTTCCATCCAATATGAATACAAATTAGATTTACACCTGTCAGTGTGATCCAGTAAAGTTCATCTGCTTTAGAAAGATGTTTGACTGTATAAGAACTCTGATCTGATCCATTGAGATATTTTACCTAGTTATTTTATGTCTTATATATAATATATTTACTCTGGTGCTCCATTATATACAATTCTTTAGTTTAAATGAAAATGAAACCAAACTATTAAAATGCATTAGCAAGACCACGTCATCAAGTCAGCTGCCAACTGGGAATAAAAGGTAGACTTTGATTGGATGCTGGAAACGTTCAACTTGACAAATCAGACTAGAGCTTCTGATGCGAGAATTTGTAAAACGGGTCAAGTTTGCTAGCTAGTCTTTGTGGCTAGTCTTCACTTGCCTGCTTGGCCGTTTCATGCACAGGCACCTGCACGTGCGTCACGTTCGCTTTGTCCTCCACCTGCTGTGTGCACCACACCCTCGCCTTGCACTGAGCAGTCGTATCAAACGCCTCCACCTGTCATGTGTGTTCTATGTTGCTTAGTCACAAACGTATGTAACACCGTCTTCTCAAGGTGTGACGTGGGAGCTGGTTGAATGTGTGTGTGTGTGTGTGTGTGTGTGTGTGTGTGTGTGTGTGTGTGTGTGTGTGTGAGGCTTGGGGCATGACTGTGTCCCTAAAGGACAGTGGTTTGAAAACGTCCTGCTAAACGTGGGGAGATTGTTGGTTATTAGTGAAAAGTCACTTTAATGACTTTCACACTTTAGAGGCTGACTAATATCTTACTGAGGTTATGACAGTTTCATTTATAGTTTATACTTCATATTATGAAGAGAAGTGAATCAAAGTGAGCTCAGGTAGACAAGTTATCAACCTGAAATATCACTTTCTAAGTCAGTGATACAGAATAAATACACAAAAAACGGAGCTTGCTTTGCTCCTTTTGTTTCGTGTTGTGATTATAAACTAACTTCACATTTATTCGTGTTTTATGGAGCAGGAAGCAGCATCAAGCTGGAGGAGAAGAGCTCGGATCCTATGCAAGACAAAAAGTAAAAGTCCATTAAAATAACCAGAAAATGTTCTTCTCTCAGCCTGAAATATATCACAAACTGTCTCTTATAGTGTCCCACACACTGTATCTCCTACTGTCTCTCATAGTGTCCCACACACTGTATCTCAAACTGTCTCTCATAGTGTCCCACACACTGTATCTCCTACTGTCTCTCATAGTGTCCCACACACTGTATCTCATACTGTCTCTTATAGTGTCCCACACACTGTATCTCCTACTGTCTCTCATAGTGTCCCACACACTGTATCTCCTACTGTCTCTCATAGTGTCCCACACACTGTATCTCCTACTGTCTCTCATAGTGTCCCACACACTGTATCTCCTACTGTCTCTCATAGTGTCCCACACACTGTATCTCCTACTGTCTCTCATAGTGTCCCACACACTGTATCTCATACTGTCTCTCATAGTGTCCCACACACTGTATCTCCTACTGTCTCTCATAGTGTCCCACACACTGTATCTCCTACTGTCTCTCATAGTGTCCCACACACTGTATCTCCTACTGTCTCTCATAGTGTCCCACACACTGTATCTCCTACTGTCTCTCATAGTGTCCCACACACTGTATCTCAAACTGTCTCTTATAGTGTCCCACACACTGTATCTCATACTGTCTCTCATAGTGTCCCACACACTGTATCTCCTACTGTCTCTCATAGTGTCCCACACACTGTATCTCAAACTGTCTCTCATAGTGTCCCACACACTGTATCTCCTACTGTCTCTCATAGTGTCCCACACACTGTATCTCCTACTGTCTCTCATAGTGTCCCACACGCCGTATCTCCTACTGTCTCTCATAGTGTCCCACACACTGTATCTCAAACTGTCTCTTATAGTGTCCCACACACTGTATCTCCTACTGTCTCTCATAGTGTCCCACACACTGTATCTCCTACTGTCTCTCAGTGTCCCACACGCTGTATCTCCTACTGTCTCTCATAGTGTCCCACACACTGTATCTCAAACTGTCTCTTATAGTGTCCCACACACTGTATCTCCTACTGTCTCTTATAGTGTCCCACACACTGTATCTCATACTGTCTCTCATAGTGTCCCACACACTGTATCTCAAACTGTCTCTTATAGTGTCCCAAACACTGTATCTCATACTGTCTCTCATAGTGTCCCACACACTGTATCTCCTACTGTCTCTCATAGTGTCCCACACACTGTATCTCCTACTGTCTCTCAGTGTCCCACACGCTGTATCTCCTACTGTCTCTCATAGTGTCCCACACACTGTATCTCAAACTGTCTCTTATAGTGTCCCACACACTGTATCTCCTACTGTCTCTCATAGTGTCCCACACACTGTATCTCCTACTGTCTCTCAGTGTCCCACACGCTGTATCTCCTACTGTCTCTCATAGTGTCCCACACACTGTATCTCCTACTGTCTCTCATAGTATCCCACACACTGTATCTCAAACTGTCTCTCATAGTGTCCCACACACTGTATCTCCTACTGTCTCTTATAGTGTCCCACACACTGTATCTCAAACTGTCTCTTATAGTGTCCCACACGCTGTATCTCCTACTGTCTCTCATAGTGTCCCACACACTGTATCTCCTACTGTCTCTTATAGTGTCCCACACACTGTATCTCCTACTGTCTCTTATAGTGTCCCACACACTGTATCTCAAACTGTCTCTTACAGTGTCCCACACACTGTATCTCCTACTGTCTCTTATAGTGTCCCATACGCTGTCTCACAAACTGTCTCTTGTCTATTTTAAGATTATTTTAAATTTGTCTTTTCTTTGAATATGTTCTACTGTGATTCATTCAGTCATTTAGCTGACGCTTTTATCCAAAGCGACTTACATTCCATTTAATTTTTTTTTTTTACATTTTTGCCCAGGGAGCAATTAGGAGATAGTTCCTCTTACTCTGGGACACCTCCACCACCAACCTTGCGGTTCCCGGCGCCCCCTCTCTAACCCTGCGCCACAACGACCCCCCAAAATGATCTACATTTACAAAGATGAGAAACCTTCGTATTGTGTCTCAGTGAGGACTTTGGACATTTTCATCTGAATCTTATATCCATCATATGTCCATCTGGTCAATGAATTGATATAACTGATATAACTTACCTGTACAATAGTGTTGACAAATAGTTAGAAGGCAGAACGTACAACTGGCTAGTCCTGATTCTATGAGTATAGACTGGT